TCCTAATTCGATATATCCGTGTTCCATGTAACAGGAGTTGACTATAAGTAATTGTTTAATTATGAAAATTGAGCCATCAGGCCATATCCTATTATAATTTTGCATGACATTCAGGGGTTCCGAACTGCTGAATCAACAAAAACATAATTGCATTATAAGAAAGAGATTTTCTCTAAAAAGAACTGCTAGAACATTTCTATTAACAAATCTACACTGACTGAAAAGTAAATTTGAAATGGCAACAAACATGAGCCAGGTAACACCAATAACTATTTATCAGAGTTTGGAACTAGATACAGCTGAATTAAGTGTGTCCATCTATTCTTCATAAGATCTGAACACCAAGGTTTTGGAATGGGATAAGTCCTCATCTTTAAGATCTCTGCCTTCATCCCAGTCTCAGAGATTCGTATCTCTTTATAATTACTCTCTCGATTGGTTTTGGAAGTTTAGTTACTAGCCAATTCATAATTTTCTCATCATTTGCTCAGCTATCTCCTTCCATATGGTGAGACCGTTTAGGGAGTATCGGGAAGGTTCTGCTAAATTCTCTCTATGTAGAAGAGGCTGTCTTTGTATTCAATAGGGAATGAGTCATTGATGACTGGTAGAGATTATTTCTGTAAATGCTGGTCGTATCGTTCCGATAATTCATATTTGAGAAGGAAAAGGGTGTCTTATTGGAGATTCAAACTTTTGGTAAAGTGGGAATACCTTGTTTGTATTCTATTATCTGCTTCTACATCATCTAGAGCTATCATAGATTCCATTCTACCGAGCAATTTACTTAATTGAGGGGAAATTCATCTTCTATTTAGATCCTGAAATAGAGGAAGACACAAAACCTGTGAATTCGCCTAGAGAGACGCTTCCCGGGGGTATCACACGAGGCTGAATAGACTTATTACGGAGATTACTGCGAATGGATGGAGGAATGTTATAACATTGAGAATGATGTGATTTTCACATTCGATGAACTATCTTTCCTGTATAGAGAGACGCTAGCCCATGTCCTACTATGCAAAAAGGATATTCACCGTGTACCCCCATTGTAAATTCCAACTTTCATTACCATTATATATTAACTGAGAATATGCTAATTAGGCTTCTTTGGTAAAAGTTATATGAATTCTTTGTTATTTCAAGGTATATTACTTCACAAAAATTAATACTCAATTATGTGTAATAGAAAAGTAATTAAATCATTACACCTAAGTTCATATTCTAAGGAATATTGCAAATCTTCTGTCAAATTATACATTTAGATTAATTTCAAATTACATGGTATCATAATTACAAATTTGAAAATAATATTCGTAAATGACTCAACCTTCTCGCGTACCCCTAGGGGTACGCGTAGCACAGGTTGGGAACCCCTGCGCTAGGTCATTAGAATATCTCGTGAGGAAGAATGAGGACACTAAGAATCTGAAGGAAATATATGATTTTGTACTCAGAGCAATCCGTCACAATCACAACAACAGGATAGACATTCCTTCATTGGCCATCACCACTGTTCAGATTGCAATGAGAATAGCTCCACCAGTTGATAGACGGTGAGTGCAGCTCGGATTCATTTTACAGATTGTCAGTGACTACCCGCAGGAACGAAATCTCCAGCATCATTTTGAAATATTCGCCATGCGCCAATAGGTGTGAAATATGATTAATCATATATGATAAATAATTATATCAAAATCTGTTCGAGTTAACCTCCATTTAAGTCCCAATTTCCCCTGCGACACTTTTTCAAATGATTAACGAGGGTACCCGCTTGTATACGAAAGGACTACAAAACGAGTGGTAGTCCCATCCAGTTAAAATTAATAATTCTTAACCTTACATACATACTTTGAACTCAATATTTCATTACATACACTTGCTTCCCTTATTCGAAATACAGTAAACTCTCGTTTCAACGAAGTGCTCGGGATCCAAATTTCATTTCGTTGTTAAGCGGAGTAAAATCAATTACATCAAGCTATAGTGGTAAAGAATCACTTCGTTATAATCAACTTTGCTTAATTGCAAGAAATCGTATATTTCTTCGATTTAGAAGGAGGCTAGCTTAGCTAATCTGAATTTCAATTCTCTAAATAGTAATATACCAATGAATAAGTCAACAGGCTAAAAGTAGGTCTAATTCTCTCTAAAAGCACGAAAAGTATAACAGATAAAATATAGGATAAAAGATATTATGTCATGAGTTAATTAATGCAATAATTTGTGCTTAATCTGCTGCACAGCATGCTCCACTATTAGCACCAATGATTTGACCATTTCTTCAATGCTATAAGGTTCATCTTCATCAGGAATATGAATGAATAGAGCAGACGTGTTACAGTATAGGGAAGTGTAGTAACAGAACCCACAGAGATACAAACCAGGGTCAGTAGATAGTTTGAATCCAACCTTCCCTGCTAGTTTATCACTACAATGTTTATGTATTTCTTTAGTATCAATCGCAGTAGTAATGCATTCGTTTGGAGGTTTAACTGCATCACAGACAGCCTCAAACTTAGGTGGAGTACAACCGCTAACATCTTCAATAGAATAGCCAGAACGGACAGATTGAGATTCTATAGTTATATTGGCGTACCCTTTAGCTACTCCCACGTGTATGGCTAAGTCTGGTTTGAATTCTACATGCATTTCTTTCACCTTCTTGCTAACATCGGCGTAGACAACAGTAAGCTCTTGTACAGAAACTAACTTCAGGTCTGTGTTCTCTGACAAGACCTTTGCTGCTCCCTGTACTACTGTCCAGCTGGGATTAGTTTTAATGTCCATGAAAGGACCAAATCCCGTCATCGTTACACTGACTACTTTCTTGTCACTTTCTGCCATTCAACTCTGCTACTAAAGGTGATATATTAAATAAATAAGTAAATCAGGTTTGTCAAAAGGCCTTACAAATCTATTGTATAGTGACGGTTGTCAAGCATTTGTTGTGACTTTTCACGTTGATTGTAATCAATTTAGTTGAAGCTACGTATTTTTATTATATTTTTAGAAAGTCTGATCACCCCTTTCGGATGATAACTACCTTCATCTAGCTAAGCAGAGGACATCAAAATTAAGAGAGGGAAGGTTTCTAGGCGTATCACACTATTACTTGAACTTTGTACAAATAATTACAAAATGATTACCCTCGACGTGAAATGTCCCAACAAATGCTTGACAACAATTCTAAAATATTCTTTTATTTTCTAGTTCCAATGTATGGCAATGGAGACATTTTATATTTGATTTTCCTCAAGTAAGTTTATCTTTCCCGTTCCATGAAATAGGAAGGCCTCAATTTCAGGTCATTTTTAGTAATTTTAACAATTATTAAGTCATTTTCAGGTTAGTTATAGGTTATTTAACAAGCAATTGATAGCAAAAAGTCGAAATTTTGTAATGGGGAAACCACACTGCAAGGAATGGACCTATTGCATGTTTTTACTCGAAACTATAACAGGATTATGTAAGTGATTCAATTCAAATGCGAGGTAATCATAATTTTCACTATGCATTAAGGTTATATTAGGAATTTAATTAATTAATAAAGAAGATCCTAAATGAAATTCACATCAGGTCACTTTTGGATTAGTGTCAGAAACACTGCATATATAGCACAAATGGCTGTGAGCGATGTGTAGTTTTCAACAAAAGGGGCAACCGATGCACCCTAATACTCACACAAGTTCTCTACATTTGAACACGTTATTCGCCCCCTATTAGTTTTGTGTCGAGAATATACGTGCACACATCGATAACTTAGTACTTATTAGTATATCAAGTGTTCTGCTGGAATATTCTGTGATTTCCAGACCTATAGCCTAACAAACGACCATATTCAAACATTTTCCTTTTCCGTTTGTTCGATAACTGAACTATGAACAGGAAATTTTTTGACCTATTCTTTGTTCCTCTATAGCACTCTTATAGCCACTAGCAAATACTATAAGTACCGTATTACCTCGAATAATAGCACCCTCTGAGGCTCCTAAACATTTATAAACTGCTATTTGTTAGGACAAAGACACATAATATAAGCACATAAGTATGATTTTATATATACGTGTTCACAAATAATCGCAAGATCCCTCGCGAGGGGCTTGAAATTAATAATCGCCCCAGTTATCATTTGAGGTAATATGGTATATCATCCAATCAAGCTATGTACCAAAATTTCAAATACTGCCTGTGCCGACGTAATTTTCCCTTAGGCCACCAGATTCAGCGGAATTAGGTACCCATATGTCTGCTGAGAGAAAGTCTCTACCAATACTTAGAAATTTGGATAATTTGTTTATGTTATATCCATAAATCAACAATAAATTTACACATAAGAAACTTGAAAATGCGAAATTTGGATTCAGCGTACTCAAATACAGACTTATAGCTGTTAAGTTCAGAGAATCCAATCACTATTTATAGTTTGTGACCAATTATGCAAATTTCAACAATACAGCCTAGAGAAGTTTCCCTCGCAAAAGTTTTGATTCCCTTAGCTTTGCTATGAATGTAGTTCAACGAAAGGTAATTTTATATTGCACACGTTAGACGTTAGAATACAAATTATTCACAATTAGAAATTGGAAAAAATTACCCAATCCCTATCCCTATACCAATCCCAATCCCTATCCCTATCCCTATCCCTATACCAATCCCTATACCAATCCATATACTATGTCACTTGAAGTTTTGCTGAATGGAAATGGCTACACATTTGATATGTTAAATTCCTTCAATGTTAAAATTCACATTCTACGAAAGTCAAGAACTAAGAGACTGGCAAGCGATCTTATTCAAGAATATTCTATACAAACTGTCCGTTCCGTTCAGTTAAATAAGGATGACCTAATGTTAGTACAACCGAAGCAGAAACTGAAGTAATGACAAAACAAAACAAAATCCATGGTTTATAATTTCAGTTGAAATTTCCATAAATGATGGTTATGACTTGTGAGGGAACTACGATTAGGTTATCCGAAAAAGAAAATGAACAAAAAACTACAGCACCAGGTGTTCCCGCGCCGTCTCCGATCGTGGTACTATCGTGGCCCAATGTTACTTAACTTCAGTGATCAGACGAGAACTGGTGTTGCCAACATGGTATGGCCGTAGCTGAAAATAAAAGATAAAATTTCAAATATTTATGTGCAAGCTAGTAAAGTAACCACCTCATTGTATGTATTGATATAATAGAAATATTTGGATATAAATCGAGAACGCTGATGTTAGGATTTGAAAATTCACAGCTTCCCAATATAATAATAGCAAGTCTATATGTGTATTTTGATATTTCAATTATTTTGTTACTTTATATTCATAAAAACAACAATAAATTTACATATGAGATACTTGAAAATGCGAAATTCGGATTCAGCGTACTTGATTACCCCCCCTATATGTCTGTTGAGTCCATGATAAGATTTATAACCTAATCTCTAGCATTCTTTTGAATTTTACATAGAAATGTATGGAAATATGATTAATCACCTAAAAGGTGTGAAAATATACACATCAGAAAATTTCAAATGTCAGGTGCACAACTAGATGTCAGTACGAGTATACATGCCAAATTTCGAGTCTTAATCTCTAAAGGTGTAGACAGGAGAGCGAACACCTATATCATATACATATATACCTACCACTAAGAAATTTTATAACTAAGCTATAGTCAGGACAGTATTTAAATAATAGGAATTAAGTTATACGCATATTGAAATGAACTGTTTGATCAATTGATTGTTATAAATATAAAATATTACAATATTAATACTTTTTAATACTTGTATGCACCAAGAGAAAAGTTAATTTTGAATTTCAACACGTTAGCAAAGTTAAACTTCCTATCTTTTAATTTTGTTGTTCACGCTACTCACTGCATTTGTATACATATCAACATTTGGTAGACAACAGGAACAAGATTGCGTAGAAATATGTGGACAATCAGTCAAGCTAGTAGAAAGGAACAACAATAATCATAAAGATGGAATCCAGAAGGACGCTAGTGGCTGGATAGCTTTAGTGAGAACTGGAATGAGGATATTCTGGTTAGGAGTAATATTAATAATAAAGCATCTACATTTACAGATGAGTATTACATAAAGATGATGTCAAAAGGTTTACATCCTCTCAACATGAAGCACCAATATCTACATGATCGGATTAATAGAGTAGATAAATTCTGTACTGTATTCCTAAAACAGAGTAATGGTGTGTGTGTGTAGGTTCATGAATGGATACAAGATAATGCGTTTCAGTAATAAATCTCAATTGCTTCAGTGTGCTGTGCTTAAATTAAGTTCTACTAGCTGGATAAACATTTTTAGAGAATTGGAAGGAATCGAGGAACTACCTTACCCATACCCAACCCAACCTTATGGGATAAAATAGCAGTTGATTTCAATTATGAAGATCCAAAATTAACAGCACAGAGATATCAGACCTACACCAAGATTATTATAGTGAGAAGTCGATTCGAAAGATTGTTATCAGCTTACACAGACAAATTCGTTACTCGTTACCAATATGGAGAAACGAATCGGAAAGACGAGAAACTAAATCGACAAAAGACCTGAATGATGAAGTTATTCAACAGATTAGAAGATTAGATGCAGGAAAAGGAAAATCAGAAATTACTTTTATAGAATTCTTAATCTATATAATGTCCCTGGATAGAACACATGGATGGAATAGCTTTGACGATCATTGGAAACCTATGAACATATATTGTGATCCCTGTTCTATCAGATATGACATTATTGTTAAATTTGAGACATTGAAAGATGCTATTCTGAACTATATACAAATACACAATCCAGGACATAATATCATTTTTCCCGAGCATGATCCAACTGTCTCAACTGATCGTTGTAATGACGCCTACAGGAATATTCCACTAACTGTGAGGATATCACTCTATGAAATCTACAAACAAGATTTTCTATCTTTGGCTGTGAGTATAAAGAAGAAAATGAGAATAATAATTTTGCTAACTTTTCTGACAGAATCTAGGTAGTATTATATTGTATACGTACGGATCTTCCAATATTATGTGGGGGGTTTGCTACCCTATGATTCTAGATAGTATCTTATTTCTTCAAAATCACTTTTATAACCCCTAGTAATTATTTTCCCCTAATGCATGTACCCCATATGGAAACGACATTTATTATATGTACATAAATCAGGATAAATCATACAAAACGGTACATGCAGTAGTCATGATCCATGGAGCATCTTACTATCAACCACTAAACTGTAGTTGTGTAGGTTGTTGTAAGCGATCTTGCAAACTAAGTGATATATACGTGTATAATATTTCTATGTCCAGTATAACAGCTTCCAGATGTTAGTGTGAATCTAAAGCTATTTCGAATATCTGAGTTTGATATATCTTCGCATGTTTTGATAATGATACAATTGTAAATTATACTTTACTCCTATTGATATAGTAGGAGAGAGTTATTATCTGATATCAGTCTTATTTACAGAGTTAGATAAATTCTTTTCCAGTGATTGGATATGTTGTATCTGAGAATCAGCTAACTGGGAGAGTCTATCATGTCTCCCAAGCTGCCAACGATAGAGTTTAGAAATGTTCTGCATAATCGGAAGTGCTTCTTTGATTATAGCTAATCTTTCATCAGGAGAAATGACTGTTGCTAATAATTCAGAAACTGTTTCATTATCATTAGTAGTTGTGTATTCACTTACATGAACTTGAGTTTTCCAGTGTTTTATCCAGGATTTCATTTTTGTAAGGTTTGGTGTTGTTGGTCTAAAATCTCTCAACTCATTCACCACATTTAGAAATGTTTGATTTCTTTCAGGAACAACAGTGATTTCTTCATGAATTTGAGATATTTCTGATTCATGTTTCGTTACAGGCATACACTGTATCTGCTCTACAACTATAGATGGTGGTAAATAGTCTGTGTTGATTTGAGATGTGATTTCGTTGCTAGCAGTTTCCATGGTATCTCTACTTTTCAACCAACTTTCTACTTTTGTACTCACTGAATCAGAAGACAATTTAGGTGAATTTTCGGTTTCATGTTGCATTCCAATTTCATTTTGCATAATAGGACAGAGGAACGAAACTTGCTAACTTTCAATTGTAAATGTATAAATGTTACAGACAATATACGTAATTAGGATAATATTACATACTAGCCGCAACGCCGCCTCTGGGCGGCTTTTTCTGCTAGTTCCTTCGGAATGCTTTTTCGGACCTTCGGCCCTCACAATTGTCTTTTGGAGTTCGCGAACGCTACGCGTATTTATACGAAGGAAGGAATCTGATTGGCCAACGTTGACCAATCAGATTTGAGAAACTTTCAGCAAGTGAAATACTAAGCTGTGCTTCAGGTAGACATGTGCTGTATCAGTGGTTAAGCTATTAACCAAATTAAAATATTTTCACATTTTTTGGCGTTTTAGAAATGAGATTTCCGGCTTTTCAAATTGTGAAAATACTTGCACTAGTTACATATTATTGGTTCTACTATATATGCATATACGGATAAGACGCACCACATCGCGGAACAGATTACGTAACTACATACTAAAGTATAGTCAGCACAGGATTAATCAGTTCATAGTATAGTACAAGAATGAAAACCGTATTGGTAAGTACTAACGGAGTTTTACTGTAAATCTGTAATACATAAGCATGCAAAAGAGTTTGTCAACCTGAAAGCCAAACAGCTGATCCGCTAAGATATCTTAATAACTCAACCATAGTAGGCTATGACTCAACAAAGATATACATTAATTTACATAAACTCAAAACTGAGCCTCAATTTCAAAGTGAATTAGATTCAAATGATTTTTCTATCAAAAGAGAAAGCTTATAGAAGTTAATGAATCGAACAGAAGAACAGAAACTCATTTATACAAGAGAAGAAAAAGTTAACTAGGAAGATGATTTGTGGATGAAATACTCCATCTTGTCTTGGAGAGTCATAGGCTGAGTGAGATTGCTTTCTTGGAATTGTAGAGGAAGGAATAGGTCTAGGGCCGGAGGTACAGACGCTGGTGTGGTTGATACAGGTATAGTCTTAACTGGAGTATGTAATGTAGATTGTATCACATCAGGGGGAACACCCAGATAATTTGAAGGAGTGTTAGGACGGAGTGTTAGAGGTGAAGAGAGTAAATGTAGTTTAGAAGGGGTGGGGTTACTAACCTGTTTCTGTATGTGTGTAGAGGGTTGGAATCCTACAAGTGGTGTAGCAGAGTGAGAGGGAGATATACCACTCTCATCTATATTCATAGGATTTTGAGTAGGAGATATTTCATGTTGTTGTCTTAATAACTCTATATTAGCTCTCACTTCCTGCAGCTCTCTCTCTCGTAGTGTTATGGAACTGGCTAATGCTACTTCATCTCTACTCAGCTTGCTAAGCAGATCTACTTTAGTGGTAGCTGTAGTAGTAGGAGAATGAGCAGGAGTTAATGAGCCGGGGAGTTTGTGTATACGAGAAGGGTCCGGGATAGGATCCCAGTGAATAGGAGGAGTGTACTGAGGGTGAGGGACCATATGTCTAAGACTATCATAGTGTGTATGAGGGTGAGGAGTAGGTACCAGCTGTAGGGTGTAGCTAGGAGGCTGGTAGGGATCAATCATGTGATGTGGTGCTGTATACAGAGTATCGAATTGATGTAGATTATGAGAGTGTAGTGAATCTTTACCATGTATGATAGAGGGGTTATGAATAGACGGAGACATCTCCCCTTGAAGTATTGACAGCTGTTTATCTCTAGGAGAAGGAGAGTACTCAAAACTCCTGTGACTACGCGGGAATGTAGGATACTGTGTATTATAAGATCGGGGAGATTGGAATTCTTCCTCATAACGGGGGGCGAGCATATGTTTATGCTTAAGAACTGGTATAGAAGGTGTAGGGAGACGCTGTCTGTCTAGAGTTTTGTGTCCAGGACGCTGTGTAGTAGCATAGGGATATATCTTTGATAAGGAAATAGAATCAGAGTCTGAGAGCTCATTCTCTGAGTAGTATAGGTTAGTTGTGGCTAGCATTAGATTAACAGATTCTTTCTTCAAGATTCTGAGATGGACTATTCTGCCAGTCGATCTGAGAATGTGAGTAGCTTG